TATATATATATATATATATATACTAACAAGCATATATATATGTAATAAAGTTTATGCTTGTCTTAAGCTAGCTGCAACTTTTATTATTATAAATTATTATTATTATTTTTATATTATTCTTATGTATTTTTTGGTATATGCAAAAGTGCAGAAAATAGTTTGTTTCGCATTTTATATTATTTATATTTGTTTTTACTTGTTTTTTTTTTATGGATTTTGCTCTCGTTATCTTTGGCATATACGACTTGTTGTTGCATTAGTGAAAATGAGAGTTAAGCTGAACTTTTTTTTTTGTTTTATACTTTTTCAAATTGGGTTTTTAAGCAGTTGAATAGGAGCTGCTGCTGCTGCCGCTGATAACATTTATATAATACAACAATTGCAATCAGCAATTGCGTAAGTAACCATTAGAACTATACTTAATGACTGTTTTCGCTCAAGTCTACACACATGTACTTGATATGGACGCTTAAATTGTTGTAACACTAAACTACAGAAGCACACACACAAAATAGAAAAAAAATTCCAATAATTTTAGACTTTTCTTAGTTGAAAGAAATTTGGTGTGTGTGCAACTGCGATGACATTTAAGTATATTTATTATTTGTCTGAGATGCCTACACTAGAGCTGGCTTTTCACTTATACACTAATTATATATATATATGTTATTATGGAAATAACTGCAAGACAATACACGCACTTATTTGTTTTGCTCATGATATGCCTCGAAAATAGAGGGAGAATTATTTGTTTAAATTCATATATATACATAGGCTGTATATATGTTTACCCAAATATGTAATGATATTATTCTTTTCTTCAAATTTTGAGCTGCGTGTTGACTTATGCCTCTATGAGATCTGCTGAAAGACAAAACAAATATGTACGACGGGGGGGATTTTCTTTTTGTTGTTTTTTTTTTTTTTTTTTTGTGTGGCTGCATATTTCCATGTTGATAAATTCTATAGCTAGATTACGCATACGCCTAGTGTACAGTATATTGTTAAGCACAATGCTCTGCTTCTCTTCATCATCGGCTTTGTGTTTGACGAGGCTAGTAAGCTCCATTGAAATAGTATTAACTACAACTTAGACAAGAATTCGCTATGTACAAAAGAAGCGCACGCAGCACGAGGCTAAACGTGCTTTCTTTATGTTAATTTTTACACATACACACATATATATATATATACGCATATATATTTATATATATATATATATATTGAGTTTTCATTTTCTATTTTTTTTTTTGCGCGTTTCACACGCACGCACTCCAAACTATAGTAGGCATGGCTCTGGTGGTTCACTGTAGCTGTTTTATTCTCTATTTCGCTTTTAGTTTTCTTTATTTTTTTTTTTTCGCTCAGCTAACTGTTTGCTTACGCCTGCGCAGCGGCAACAAACTGCACCACAGTGGTTGGCCTTGTGCTTGGCACCACTGGCGTTGCCGTTGTTGCTGTTGTTGTCGCGGCAATTGCTGCTGCTGCTGCTGCTGCTGCTGCTGCATCATTGCTACTGCTCGGCGCACACACATCGCTGGGCAGACGCTTGACCAGCATTTGGCTCGAGCGGACCGCAATCCATTCATTGCGACCGGCATCGAACCAAGTCAGGCCAAGATTATAGCGGCCATTGAGATTGGCGTGCTGGCAATGAGAGAACCACCAGCCACCCTCATAGTTAGCAGCACAGTGCGTCTGTGATATATCGCGATCGTCGTCGATGGCCGAGAACTGCATGCCCTGCTGATAGTTGAGCGCATCGGACGCATTGCCGCTATAGTCGCCGATATGCAGTCTATAGCCATCGTCACGCGACGAGATATAGAAATGCTTATACTCGGCCACCCAATTGTTATCGTAGATATCCTGCATTTGGATGCGCAACTGGGTGCAGTTGTTCAGCGTCAGATGATGCAGCTGCTCGTTGCCAATCCAATATTCGCCACCTGGCGTGCCAAAGCCCTGGGCATAATCGGCCCACGAGCGATTGAAATCGGCGCTGCCATCGAAGCGACGCTGCACCGTCGTCCAGCCGTTCGCGTCACAGTGCGTCATCAGTGGATGATGCTGGCCAGCGGGCGCTATTAAATGCAGTCCATCCACATGCGTCGACAGCTCGCTGCAGTCCTGCGGCAGTTTATTCACAATCGCCTCGTACTGTGCCTCCACATTCTCCAGCTCAGCCACCAGAGTTTCGGCCAGTTCGTTATCTGTGCGCAAATCCGTCAATTGCGCTGATTGTTGTTGTTGTTGTTGTGGCTTTTGATGGTGTGCACGCTTGTGCGGCTTGTTGAGGTGCGAAAGCTAAAAGTGTATAGAAAAATCATAGATGAAATCAATTAAATAAGAAATAAATATATATTTATAATGAAAATATTTTTATTAAAATAAATGAAATTAAAAATAAAAAAAAAATTTATTTAAAAAAAAAAAATAATAAAAATTAGTTATTATAATAATCGCATCATTTTTAAGAATTGCAGATGTAATATCAATAATTTATTAAAAATATATTAAAGCCTAAATCATATTTGATTTTTGTCATTTTATATTTAAAACAGATTGCTTACCTTATTGTGCAGCTCATTGTTGACCAGTGATTGAATGCGATCCACATTCGTCTGTAGTTGCTCCACTGTGCTGACCAACTTTCTAACTCCCTCGCGTTCCTCCTGCAGCGCACTGACGCTGACGGCCATCGCCTGCAGGGAACGTGCGGAATTTTTGCCTTCCTCTCGGACCAAATTCTGTTCGGAGCTGATTTGGGCATTGGCAAACTCCAGCTTGGATATCTCGTGTCGCAGCTCGGGTATGTTCTTGTCCATTTTACTTTGCAGTCCCTCAACATCCTCGAGCAGCTCCAGCATCGAGGTGTGCAGCTTGTCCAGCGTCGCTATCTGACGGCTCAAATTGAAATTGGCATTCGCAATGCGGTGCTGCTCCAGCTCAATGCTGCGCACTCGCTCGTCAATGTGATGGTATTTCAGCTCGTTCATCTGCCGGCGCAAGCTGCGCTGGGCCAGCTGCAAATTGTGGATCTGCTCCTGCTGGAAGCGACAGTGGCGACGTCTGTGGTCCGCCAGTTCGCTGCTCGACTGCGATTTCGACTGCAAAGAGAAAGAAATTTTTATTTATTTATTATTTTTTTTTTCGTTGAAACACTTAGAGCTACAAATCGTAAGGGCTTTATATACTCAGCGTGTGGTTGTTGATAGGGGATAAATGAGACGTTACGTTAGTAGTTTTAAGTACTTTTTCTTTCATATATCGATATACTATATCAATAAAAATCAGATTTGGGTTTCTGTTGCTTAAGGCCAGACATTTTATAGCTGAAGCTAATATCTACTGAGGAAGCTGGCTTAAATATGCAATTGTATACCCTGTAGCATTCGGAGATGACTGTCTTGGCTATATAGATATACCAGAGAAAATTATAAGAGCTGTTCTCTATTTTTCCATAATTTCTAGCCACAGTCATAAGTTCTAGTTCTCCATAAATATGAAACATTTACGCAGTCGAGCATGGTCAATTGTCGCTCTTAAGCTTGCTTCGTCGCGGTTGTCGTTGTCTTAGCGCACTTGTAATATGCATGTGCACGGGATTATGTGCAGGGAATTGAATCCTAAATCCATTTATAATAAATGCATTTCATAACGTACAGCCGCAGTGCCAAACAACTTTGCCACAAATACACGCACACGCACACACACACGCACACACACACGCACACACACACGCACACACACACACACACACACACACAGTGCCACACAGACGAAGGCTATGCAAGGATAAAGGGCGTGTGCAACAATAATGTCAGCGACAGCAACGCGCAAATCCCTGGCGTTAAGTGTGTGAGAGTGGGGACATAGTGTCTCTACGTCTGTGTGTGTGAGTATGTGTGCGTGTGTGCGGGTGTGTGTGCACTCATATAGACTTTAAGTTAAGGCGACTTGGCAGCTGTCTATGTTAGCGGCACACAAGTTCATTTATGCATTTTTTCTAGTACTGAATACCCATTAAATGTAGGTAGAGAGGGTATGACGGACAGCACTTTTGCTATATATATTTTATATTTTTTTAATGGAAGGTTTTTGATGTTTTATATAATTTATTTTTGTTATGCATGTTTTATTTTTATAATAAATAATATTTGTTAAAAAAGTAAATATTCCAATATTAAAAATGTTTACAAATTTTAATAGAATTTTTATAATTGAAATTTTTATTACACACATTTTTTTTTTATTTTTATTTTTATTAAAAATATTTTTTTTTTTATCCTTCATATAATATTAATATGGGAAATAATTTTTTAGCAATAAATATTTACAACGGCAATATTACAAATATTTTTCACTTAAATGACATTTAATTGTTTTTTATGTTTTTAAGATACTCTACAGGGTATTTGGTAGTTGAGCACGCTCAAATAAGGCCACATTTCCTGCATCTTTCAGTTGTAGCAGCGCAGTCATATAGTAGTAGTATAATTTAACTGAGTGACAGGCGTTAACCAAGGTAATGGCATTTGGGTCACATTTCTGATTTCTGAATGCAAATGTAATGAATGCGCCAACAGCATTGAAATAGATAAGGATACAAATGGAGATGCACATGCAGATGTAGATGCAGAACACAAACAGATACAGATACAGATACAGATACATATATTTATATATACATATCATCATAGCACACACGCTTCGCTTGTCATTCATTAAAAATAAAAGTTTGCGAAATATCATCTATATTTTGAGGGAGAAGCTTCACCATTCAAAGATGCGCTCATAATTGCCAAATAAAGCAAAACTAGCGAATGAAAATGCCAAATGAAATATGCTGCTAATGAATCAGAAATACATAGTCGACGATGTAGATGTGGCGAAATGGAGGAATGAAGATGTCAAGCTGAAGAGTAGGGTAATATTTTTGCCTCGCTGTTTAATTATGCGACACAGCCAAACAAAAACGGAGGCAAGAGATAGAGAATTAGTCAGTGGGAAATATGAATAAATAGAGAGGGAGGGAAAGAGAGAGTGAGAAAAGGGAGTGGGCGAGCAAATAAGTCGGATTACAAGCTTATAAATCAAAAAGTTTTCAATTTGCTTTGCTGTTTGTAGCATTCACAATGGCAACAAACAAAGCATTGTGAACGCAAAGTAGCTTCATTAATAATTTTTCGTTATTATAAATAGGGAAAAACTTTTGTTTGGCATTTGCTATTGGGCATTTGAACTTATTAATTGGCTGAAATGGTTGAAGCTGTTAACAAGCTTTTGATATTATTCTTGGAGGAAATTATTAATTAATTAATATATAAATAAATAATTTAAATAATAGAGAAGTTTCAGATGTTAACCAATGCTAACAAATATTAAATAAAAAATTTAATATTTGCATATTTAAAATCTTAAATAATATGACGAAAGACTAAGAATAATTTGCTTTAATATTAAACAAGCCAAAAGCCAGCCAAATTGTTTTTACGCATTTTTTAAAGTCCCTTTTTATTTTAAAGTAGGTATGCGTCTATTTTTATTCGTTTTAAATTCAATTATTTACATATATACGAATTTGCGCGTAAAATATGAATTGTGCGAGTAGGCGAAACTTTTATATGGCCAATCGGAGCGCGACCTAAAGGAATTTTCAACTGCTGTTTGTTTTGCGTGAGCGCACGTCGGAACGGGCGACGGGGGCGTTCACGTTGGCAGAACTGGGCGAGCTGGGATGCCACTTGCCCAACAAAAAAACAAAAAAAAAACCTTCCCCAAAAAAAAAAAAAAAAAAAAAAAAAAAAAAAAAATAACAGAGAGGAAGCGCCGTTTGCTATTTTATGCGAAAGGTCACGAACATGGCTAATACGCCACGTTCCGCAGCGGGGCCAATATAGATATATATATATATATATATGTACAATATATGTTAGCTATATACTGTCTATATAATATGTATATATGTAGGTGCAGGAAGTTGACTGGAGCCTATCGAAAAGGTGATGCACGATTTACGGCAAAACGATGTCAACAATATAATTAAATGTGATTTATGCGTTGGCCCCCCTCCACCCTCCTCCCTCTTTTATGCCAATCGCCTCGGTTGGGCCAATTAACAAGGCAGTGGTGGAAAATTTTAAGTATATTTTGGGGCTATTTGTGGCAAGTGACAGCGGCGTTAATTGAAATCGAAATTGAAATTGAAGCATAAATATTTTATGCTCGTGTGCTATAACAATCAAGAAATGCTAATCAGGCAAGAAGGAGCAGCCGCTCGGCTAATTAATTTGCAAAGCCACACACACATATACACATACATACATATATATATGTAAAATGCATAAAACGCTTGGGTCGCAGCAAGGATTAAAGTGAAATTTTACATGTTGTGCTCAAGTGAAGGCTAACAAGGATTTGCTATTAGCGTCAGGCTATGCAGCAAACAAGCTGCTGCTGCTCGATGTGTGTGTGTGTGTGTGTCTGTGTGTGCAGCACAAATAGAAAAAGCTGCGATGACTGCTGCTCCTGCGGCTGCTGCTCCTTCTACGGCTCCTGCTCCACGCTGAATTGTCGTAAAAATTTAATAGGACTTTTGTGTGCCGCTCAAAAAGTTGCACACACCCACACACAGAGAGAGAGGGAGGAACTCTGTGTGTGTGTGTGAGTGCCACAAAATGCCATTAAGTTAATGCGCATTTAGGTGCCAACATTGGTAGGACTTCTTTTTTTATTTATTTTTTCGTGGCCAAATGGCAAACGTGTGCATAATTTAAAACTAAATATGCGCAAATATTGCCGCGCAGTTTCACAAAAAGCAAAATTTTTAATCAAAAGAGTTGGCATGAAACGGCTCAGAAAAGAGAGAAAGAGATAGAGAGAGAGCGAGCGCTCTTTAAACCAAAACCAAATGGAAAACCAAAGCTCAAGCACAAATAGCATAAATAAATATAGAGTATATACATACATATAATATATATGTAAATATTTATGCACATAAATCGACTCGATGTCGCTGGGGATAAGCTTTGAGCTCTGCTTGAGTAATAGAAACATGCTACGCACTACTAGCTTGAGCACACACACATATGTATATCCGGGTCTCAGGAGTATGCCCGGGTTTCAATAAAGATAATTTCGCTCATAAAATAAATATCAACTACGAGCACTGCATATATGCAAATATCGCACAACAGTAACAGCAACAACACAAAAGCGAAATGATTATGGTTACCGAAAATATATACAAGCACTTCCAACAATCAAACAAATTGCCAGCGAGGCAGCAGACAGCAGACAGCAGGCAGCTGGTGGGCGAGGGCGGGCGGGTAACTTTTGGAGGCAAGAAAAGTAACATAAAACAAAAGCCAGCACAAATATCAACATAAATAAGGTAAAATGCTGCTGGAGCCCACTCATGTGCTATAGAATATAACCCAAGCTAACCAAGGCCAACAAAAAAAGGAAGAAAAAAAAAAAAAACAAATAAAAAAAATTACAGGAGCATAAATATAGGTGAGCGGGACATGGGCGAATGCTAGATGCTCTAGAAAGGAAAAGAATAGGCAGCAAAAAATATGTAAAATGTGATTGAAGATAGCGCGAATTGTCTACGAATAACTTAGGATATAAATTTCATTTATCATTTATGTGATATAAGTGAGTGATATGAATCAATAAAGTCTGATACTCTGTAATATATAAAATTATTTTGTAAATATTTTTTTTATTTTGAATATATTAAAAATTATAATTATTAAATTTTATTATTATTATTTCTTTTCATTTTATTTTATATTATTTTTTTTTTTTAAATTTAAAATGTTTTTTAAGACCTTGTCAAAATTCTAACATTTATATTAAATTGTAAACAATTACAGAGCTTGTTTCAAATGTACAGAATTCATTATTTTTATATATTTTTTTTTTTAATTTATATATATTTTTTTATTTTTTACATTTATATTTTTATATATTTTTATTTATTTATTTATTTATTTTTTATTGGTTGCATAAGTTCTTCCACAATGCTCCAAATCCATTTATTTACACTTTGTTGCAAATGCATTCGCAATATTAAAGTAACCTCTATTAGGGTATACAAAAA